ACTCAGTGTTGCCACTGCTATAATGCAAAAGCCAAATTAGCTGCTGAGGGAAATCCCTCTTACTGACAAACGTTAAGTGGCAGTATTTTATTGGCTTTACTTCGAAGGTTTATATGAAAATCCAGGTAGGATTATGCTCCATTTGTTTGTTTAAACCATAAAAGTATTTCCTAAGAGCCACAAACAATGGTTTAACACAACGAGCTGCAAACAAGTTTAGCTCTACCTGGTGAGAAACGCTACTGTCCAGACCCTCTACAATATAGCTACTTAAATATAGCTACTTAAAAGCTTTGTATTTTTTATTTCCTATACTTCTTGGAGATGGGGGAACAGCCAGCCAGAATCCATTTTTGAGAGCCTGTAATATTTTGACACATATCTTAACACATTTAAATATACAAACAAACGATCTATCTGAAAGAATGCCCATTGTAGCTAACGAGATCAGGGTGCCTGGTCTCAATGCCATTCCTGAAATGGAAAGAGGGATTGCTGAACGCATAGGAATGGGAAATTTCAAAATTGCACCAGGCATTAAAATTAAAAAAAAAAAAAAAAAAAAAAAAATCAAAGAACAACATGTTTTTCAGCAGGTCAGTGATTTTGACACAGATGATGTACAATTCACCATACAATCTTCTAAATTAATAGAACACCAACATAAAAAGCATCAGTAATTTAAATTTTAAAAAAAGGAGAAAAGCTGTAAGTTTTGTTTAAAATTTGGAGACTTGAATAAAAATTAGAAGATCTGTGCAAAAGTAACGGAATGCAGAAGCCGACTACATCCTTGGCCAAAAGCATTGCCTCTCCCTGCCCAATACTTTCCTTGAGAAATCCAAGCAGACTGTACTTTTATGCATCCATGGGAAAGCATAAAGGAATAACTGCTACATGTTTGGCTTTTGGTATTTCAAATACAATTTCTTTAAGTAAATTGCTTTCGTTTAAATAGCCCTATGTAGCACGGTAGAGTTCAATGCTGTACTAACAAAAAACTCAACAAGAGACTTCAACAATTCTGCTGGCTTTCTGAAAAGCGCATACAATCTGCAAAATAAAAGGCCAAGCTACCAGCTAAAGAAGAGATTTTAAACAATTACCAAAGCAGGATAGTGATATCATAAAGGCAATTTCTGCGCTAGCTTGTTTTCTGAAACTCTCTTTGCTTCTGAACAGCTAGAACAGATAATAACTATTAGTAAATCAAACTCCTGCAATATCCAGCTGTGTCTCACACATTTACATACAGATAGAATGGGTATATGTTTTTAATATGTATGCGATACGTACTTTTACCACAGCTGAAGTGCATGCTACAAAGGAGGAGGAGAATGGGAATGGAATCAGCATGAGATAATAAAGTGGCCTAGATAAAGTATTAGCCAGCGATTGATCTCAAACAGGGGATGTTGCTTCTCTCTGACCTGATTACTTACTATGCATAGATTCCATTAAATAGAGCTTAGAATGGAAAGCTTCTGAAAAATACCGTAAATACAGTCAGATCTACAGCTTCCTGAGCCAAACCAGCCCGCAGATGCCTACCCATACACGTGGCACAGGTGGGAGTTTAAACCTTACCCGTACCGCCACATCGCACTCGCTAAATATACGTCTATGTCTGCATTTCCCTGGGAGCCAGGCTTGTGATGCCAGAAAACTCCATGTTTTAAATGAAAACAGGAAGTTCACGGGGGGGAGGATAAAAAAAAAAATCTTATTACAGAAGACTTGTTGAGTTTTTCCTTTTCTTGTTGGAAAGGAAGAGAAGAAAGACAGAAGAATATGCTAAGATGTTGTGCCATCTTCCCTGGTGCTGAAACAGGAGTACGTTCAATTTAATTGACTGTAAGCCTTTCTCTTCTTAAGAGGGAACAAACTGGAGACAAAAGAGCAGACACTAAACACAAGGTTCAGAATAACCACCGGTAAATTATAAAGATTGTTCCTTTCCCTGGATGGACAATTTTCCCATTGCTTGGTGAAATTACTTTTTTTCACTCCTGTGGAACAAGTCTGTTAATTTGAAATACTTTGAAACAATTAAATCCTTGATTACATATACACAGAGAAACTGATGTTATATCTTGTTTTGCGGATGGGTATATGGAAGAAAGGGCATAGCGACCGAGTGTAAATACAGGAACCTGATTTATGCCAGCTGTTTTGGAAATTTGGTGTTCGCTTGCACAAGAGTATCTATGGTACTAGAAAGCCTTTATCCAGGAATTTCATACAGCCTTGGCTTTGGCCCTATTTTCTAACAAAATGTGCATACTGACTTTGATAAAAAAGGGCTTCCTAACATGATAGACAGGGTAAATCCATCCCTGATGTAACCCCGTGACTTCACTGGAGTTGCCAATCTGGCACTCCAGGTATTGTTAGTCGGCTCTTAAAATGCATTTAACAATTCACCGATTATCAGGAGAGTAGAAAAAGATTGATGTTCTGCTCCTTTCATTTTGCTTTCAGTCTTTAATTATACTAAATTGGTTACAAAATAGTGACTTCCAGTACGGTTAATGTCCATAGGGGAGAAAGCCTGCACTCCACTGTTTTGTCTGAAGCTAACGATGATTACCTGTGTTACACCTTTCATCCTTGCTAGTACATTTCTTCTAAATAAAAAAAACCCAACCCAATGAACAAGGTGAAATCCTGCTCTCATTTAGATCAACGGTAAGCTGACCTTGACAAGTCCAGGATCTCACTGACAGTACCTGCATCACTCTACCCTGAGAGTTAACACAGAGATACCCATCAGAATTACAACAGAGTTTCAGAAACAGATGACGTGGAATTAGAAAGGATATGGCGGTCAGCAATTCTAGAATTCAGAGGATATTTAACAGCTTTTGTTCTGGCCCCGTTTTCCAACGAAGTATGGTAATTTATATACACATATGTAGACATATGTACAGATATGCTCGTGTGTATATAGATATATTATGTGTGTGTTCGTATATATATGCTAATGTATATGTGCATATGAGTTTTATAAATAAAGTGCTCCTTGACAAGACTGGGTAAGTGCAAGAACGTAAACGGCTTGACTGGCGAGCAACCACTGAGCTAATAGTGAGTCTGTCACAGAAAAGCACGGGGTGCTCTGAGCCCATCAGGCTGGAGGAGGGAATTTAGGGCAGCTTATGAGGGTCAGCCACACCGCAGGCAAGGACTGGGTCACTCCTTTATTTCAGTCTACTCCATGCTTTAGGACTTGTTGTTGCAAGTTCATTTATAATTGAATAGAAAGTAGCATAAGGGGAAAAATGCATTAAACAAAAGATTTTGTTCAAAAAGTCGGAAGGCTTTTTTTTTTTTTCCTGAGCTGCTATAATTTTAAAAATATTTTACAAAATACCTCCTTAAAAGGGGACTAGCACACTCCAGGGCATGTAGTTGTAAAGATAAATCTGTGCACTACCCTGGTACTGCAGGCACTCACCCTTTGGCCTCATTTTTATGACGCTACACCCTGGAGTGGTGTTATTGCTTACAAACATACATATATACTTATGGGGGTATGTGCGATCTGTAGATGTTTTATTTATAAGTGGCAGGCCTATTGCATCACTGAAACATGCATTTACAAACAGATATAGGTTTTATGAAACCCTATTCCGTTGTTTTAATAGCTAAGCTATCCAGCCATAGCATAATAGTGCACAAGGTAAATGTGTCTACATCTCTAGAACCTGTTCCAAGTTTTCTCAGATGTGACTAACTGCAAGAATTTTCCAACCATCAAAAGTTAATAAAAAAGACAAAATAAGGCAGTGTAAGCCTTTCATACGAGACACACAACACCACAAAGTGGAAGGGCTCTGATAAACTTTAAGGCCTCATTTTACCAAGGTATTTAAGGAGGTGCCTAACTTCAAATGTAGAACTATTGAAGTTAATATCCTTAAAATTAGATTCACAGTTAAATACTTTACTAACCAGGATCTAAATTGAGACTAGTCTGGATTGTGAAATATCTGCCCCAGGGCATCTTCAGAGATTAGCCTTTAACTAGAGAATAGCTGCAATAGAAACACTTGTTTATTCTACTTGCAGTTCGCAGCATGTAAGCAAGAAATGAAACGATGCAAACGTGTCCTTATCTTGTTAAAATCTGCTAAAATTATTCCTAGATATTTTGATGATTTTACATAAACTTCCAAGTTACAGGAAACATAGCATATAAATAAAAGTAATGAAACATTTAAAAATCAAAGATATTCGATGCGATTCAGAGGAAATTCTTATCTACAATATGTTACTGCAAATATTTGTAATAATTGTTTGATACACTATTTTTCTAGCTGCTTAAAAACAGTCAAAACAGCACTCTCTACTAAATGCACAGCCACAAGGGACCAGCTTGAGAGCAGGTACCCTATTATTGCCTTACTGAAAAAATGACAATTGCAAGCAAAAGAAGAGGTCTCTGAGCTCAGATTCCAACACTGAGAGCCCTTCTACGGACAAACCAAAGCTACATATTACCTCAATCTTCTCTAGCCAATCTAATTTCATTTTACATTAATATAAGTGAATACAGTAGCTCCTGCATTTCATTAAAAATACACCATATCCTCTGTTTTCAATCTTCAGATTTCGAAAGGTGAAGACTGGCAAATGACGAAAAAGAGTGACCTACATTAAGCTGTAATCCCTGGACATACAAACTGAAAAAAAAGTGTATTAAGCATCAAAATGGTTTTGATTGAAACTTGATACTGGCTGTGAAAGTTCTGTATTAACTCCCCAGATCACAAGTGAAGCTTTGGTCACGATGACGGTAACAGCAAAACAGCCATTAACTTCAGTGGAATCATAATTTCACCTTTGGTTTGTGTGCTCTCTGTGAACATGTAATTGCTGCACAAGCCAGACAGAGTTTACATTTGAATTTGTACATCCTGAAAAATGCAGAATAAAATACATGACTAAAAAGTATTCACAGACAAATACATACTGAGGGGCTCTGAACTTTCACTTACCATTAAATCTTCAGGTGCTGGCCTTTCCTTTGGTTGCTTTTTCATGCTATGTGTCATAAAACAAAATGTTCATATATAAACAACTGCTCATTTATTCTACTTGCTTAAATATTGAAGCTATCCTCTTTTAACACAGAGTGAAGAATTTAAACGTATTTAACTTTATCATGTGCCAATGGAAGACAGGGTTCCAAACAGTGGCCAAAATGTTAATGGATTTCTTCCTTCCCTCCCATCCCTCCCTTATGGGATGTAGTGGTCTCCACTGTAACCATGAAAGTGTGCAAATATAGAGAGTTGGCTCAGAAGGCACAGTAAGTTGACTCTCATTTTGCTAGGGATTATTACATAGCTCGACACAAAGTATTATACAAACAGGTGGGAAATTTAACTCTAACACTAAACAGCTTCAGGAGAATGCACAATACCCTGGGGTTTCTACCTTAATTTTTTCACATTTATTTCCATTACACTGCAGGGTGATAGTTCATTACACAGCATTAACCTGTTTATAAGATCATGTTTCTCATCCAAATAGTCCTAGTTTTCTGTGCAACAGGTGCAATTAGCTATTGAAGGCTGTGCTTAGCTGCATGACGGAACACAATAACATGGCACAGAGGTGACCATCAGGAGCTGCCTACTGACTAATTGGATTACATCCAAACAGCCAGTGTTTATGGCGTAATTGGCATAAAGTCATAAAGTCTGATATGCCGTTCACTTGACATCTCTAACACTTATTAGGAATTGATTGCTTAAATAGTATATAGTTTCTTCTTATTTGCTTTTTTTAAACAGTAATGCCTCCCACTAAAACGTACAGCCAATATAATATAACACTATATCTAAAATACTAGATGATCTGTGCTGTAAATCGGAGGTATTAATGACACAATTTACCTTCCCTACAAATAACTACAAGCACCTCAAATAATACAGGCATTAGCAAGTAACGCAAGCTGTCTGACGAGTAGGTTGGTAGCAGTCCTAATCTGACAGTCCAAAGTAGCTGCGTCCCCAGGGAAAACAAGGCTATTAGCCACCATCAGTTATGCTTCAGTTTGACATCTGTGGAAATTTTAACACAGGTTATCCCTCCCTCTGCCTCAATGAGAATTTTTTAAAAACGCTCTGTCATCAATTTTTTGCAGGGATAAAAAGCATAGACCTCCATGCACATCAGTTAGTTGCGCTGCAGAACCCTCCAAATAGCGTTGCTCCTTGTAAACTGAAACTATTGAAAACGGAGGCCTATGTTACACAAACTTTAATTATTTAGTTACTTTAATTAACCAATAATCAGACTGCTTTTTGTGTCTGCATTGTTTGTTACATACTATGTCAGTCCTCAGAGGCACTTTCTCCTATGTTATGTATTCAAAATTCAATTTTATTTAGATGACTTTTGCTGGCATACGGTAGAGACCCTGAAAGTGCTGCGAAGCCCGACCTATAGATCGATCTGCGTGGGGCCGAGGGCTTCGAGCGCCTTGTTTTTGCCGAGGACGCATCCCTGAAGCAGGATTCCCTCTCGGCCACGCGGCTGCGGCTCTCAGTGGCACACACTGAGATGGCTCCATCTGATTTAGCACAGCTGAGCATCCAGCCCTGGAAGCGCATGTTCGCAGAAGGGATGCTTCTCCGTCAAACACATCGTATTTTTACAGAATTCAAGCTTGTTTCTTCTGCCATACATAAATGACTGTCTTTTTTTTTTTTTGGGGGGGGGGGGGGAGCGGAATAAGAATGAGACAGTTAAAAAAAAGATTTTTCCCTTCACTTTGTTTCTTTAGGATAGCTTACCCCCAAGATTTTTATTCACTAATCACTGAAGAACTGTATTCTTTATTCTACAAATTCCTCCTCTCCCCAGTTCTCCTTTAATTTAAAAGGTTTTCAATGAACTATTCAGTTTTAAGGAAAGAAAATATACCCAGTGGTGTGTTTTAAAATACGACGCTCAGTAAAAATTACTTACTGAAAAGCCAATGAATTAATCAAGGCTGCTTGCCTTTCTAAATATTGAGGCAATTTTATAAGTAATATTTTAAAAAGCCCTGAATAATGATATTCAGAGTCTTTGTGGCTTCTTTACCCCCAGATGAATTCTTAGGAGTCTCAGCGCACAAGACTGCACCCACATTCAGGGCAGGTTTATTAAAACACGAAAAACCCTTGTAAGTACTTTTACGACCCTTTGTGTAAATAACGTTTACATAATTTAAACAGTTTGCTTAGCTTTGCTGCCCCATCTGCCCAAGGCCCCCAAGTCCCTCTTCTCTCAGAAAGGATGCAAGGAAAGCCATAAGGTCTCGCAGAGCTGCAGAGTTAATGGCATGTATCATTTACATTGAGGGCATGGCATGTTTGCAAACTGAGCTTACCATTGAGTGATGAAGTGTACAAATGGCTCAGAGAACTCCCCGGCTGGAAGGACGGGCGATTCCTGGGATTGGATTGAAACAAGAAGCAGAGTCAGAAGGAGAGAAGATAATTTTTTTTAGAAGGAGACTAATATAACAGTGACAACAAAACAAAAAAAAAAAAAAAAAGGAAAAAAACAAGGAAGCGACAAAACCCCCTTTTCGCACAGAATTTGAGGGAGAAAGGTACAAATTCTTCTGAGAATGTGTTATAAAACACTGAATTTCAACTAATGAGTATTACACAATGGATAAAAACATGTGGAAAGACACTGAGGGGAGGTGAAAAAAGGACAATGATAGCCACAGGGTAAAA